GTCATGGCAATGTGAATGGAGACGGACAAACAACTGATAAAATAATTCCCTGTGTTTGCTGCTGGATTTGGTGTGAATCTGGCAACCTGAGTCAGGGAGAGTGGGAGAGGACTGCAAAATATTGACTGTGACTGCAGTACCACTTTTGGCCAGATTTTTACATATACATAGTTCCCACAGACCAATGAATGTCACTTGACCTCCTCGGAGACGCCATCTTTGATGGCACGCTGCTGTGTTTGTGCATTCCATTAAACAGAAGAATGAGAATAAATGTAGATATTCAAACGCAAATTGGAAAAAAAGGGCAACTTTTGAGCAAATAATTGTATATTAATACAATGGCACCACAGTTTAACGTGCTACGGACATGTTTTACATATTTGATCAAATTATGCAGCAAAAATTAACAAGCAATGCAAACATTTCTCAAAAACTTTAGATTTAATACCAGTTGGAGCTCCATTTAATTATTTTAATTATATTAACAATTAATTTAATTAATGCTAATGCCACACGGACACTCTGGATTGCTGTTATTGTTTATTTCCGCGTTTTTGACCGTATGTTTTGGTGAATGGTGGGCAACTGATTTTTCCAGGCGTAAAGAGCAGTTTATTTTATGACACAGATCTTTTTACAGAAGCAATGCTGTTTGTGAACATTGTTTTAGCCCACCATAGAACTATTATTATCTATTTAATACATTTACGTTGCCCTCGAGAGCCTCGGACGCGACACCGATCCTCCTCATAATAAAGTAATCTAACGCTAAATAATGAAACTCTCAAGTTACCAGATATCAGCATACACAAGTTAGTACTGAGTAAATTACGTCTGTCAACACATTATAAGATACGATACGCACCTGACACAAAGTGCTCCGAGCATATTCTTGCGTGTTTTGAGGGAGTTTCTTGCCTGTTTATCTTCGCAAGCCATAACCTCCGTGGTTGTTCTGACAAAAGCTTAGTCTTCTCACATTCATGAAGTCTAATGATGGGTATACTGTAAAATCCAAGTTTAACGGAACCTCCGGCACGATTTGAACGTCCATTGACCCAGCAGGAGATGACCATTTTCAACTTTATCACGACATTAACACGTTTCAGCTTCTTTTTCTATTGTTTTGCCCACAGAATGCCAAGACAAATGGCGCCGGGTCGGCAAATCCCCGTATGTAGTGACGTCATGTGGGAACTATGTATTGCTCCTTTAACTCAATAATAATGACATTGAGTGGTGTTTGTGGATGGGCTTAACTAAGTGTTCTGTTTAGTTTTTTTATTTAGACTTTATTAAGGACACATATGCCGACCTGACTTCACATGTCATGAATCGGTGCAATATCTTGAACTAAAATCAGAATGTGTGTGCAAAGTAGAACCACATCTGTCAATGTCACTTTACTTTACTCATCTGTGCAATAATAACTTAAAGGAATAGGCCACCGTTTTTACATACTGACATATGTTCTTACCTTACATTAGACTAGTTGATATGTACCTGTGTGATCTTTGTCTGTGCCTCTTCCACATACTGTATAGTACCAAATCAGCTCCCGTTAGAAGCTACCAAACTCTTCCACGTTTTCCCTATTTAAATACAGCTACGTGACGTGTTACCGTACAAAGTATAGTAACACAGAAATGTAACATGTCCTTTTTCTCAGCGGATAAAAAGGGGTACTATATTGTGAGGCGTAATAATACGAGGAACGCTATGTCTTTATACTTCTTCTTCATGCTATAGAGAGATTTTAGTAACACTTAGCCCTCACCAATTAACAGCTAACTAAGTGATAATTAGTATATCCTAACCCTAGACCTGACCCGCGTGGGAAAGTGTCAGTTTGTAGTTAGTTAGATGTTGATTAAGGCCATGTAGAATAAGGAATGACTTCATGCTTAGTAAATACCAATTAAGAGATAATTAACCATAAATTATGCACAATTTATCCATTAATTTGCTGTTAATTAGTGAAGGCTAAACTAAAGTGTGACCGATATTTTTATTCTACTTTATTAAACACAGAGTTATTGTTCATTTATCTTGTGTTGTGTGCTCCTCATTCCTCTAAATCCTAATCTCAACATGCAGGCACAGGATCCATAGCTAATAAGAGTAATAATTAAAACAGAACTAAACAAAAAGTGATAAAAAAAAAAGAGCAGCGTAAGTACATTTTATCATATTGTCAATTTGAATAAAAATCTGATGTCACTTGTTGAGTAAATGGTGTGACCTTCTACAAGATGTCGAAGGATAAAGAGGGAGTTTTCCTTATGTTCTGCAGCTTAATTGTCTGATGTGATTATGAGGTCCCATTCAAAACCAGGCAATTAGTCAAATTAAAACTCATTAGCTCATTAAGTGTGAAGTTGGCACCACTCGGCCTCGCTGCAAGATAAATGTTGACATTTTACTTTTCTGTTATGTAGCCACACCTCTGGAGATAGCATCAGGAGAAAGAGGAGCTGCATTTAGGACACATCAAAACCCATGTTTACTTAACCTGGTTATTTCATTGTGGTTCCGGTATCTCCTGGTATTTTAAATCGAATATCTTTTCTTACAAGTTTTTATTTTTACACCCAAATTTCTGTATATTCGACTCTTTACATTGTTGTAAGGAGAATAAAATCATCAAAGTGAACTCATCAATAATGATTAGCCATGCTTCTAAGTTCAGTACAATAATGGCTGCATTCGGATTCATGTTTTCAAGTATGTTAGTTCTAAAAGTATGGAATGTCTCTAATGTGTCTAATAAATATATTGTCTTTTAAATTGGTTTTGATTATTATTGAGAAAAATTCATTCTACTTTTTACTCAAGTCATTTTAAAGTCAATAAATACTTTCAGTTCCTAGTTTAATGTAAGTTTAGCAAGTTTAAATCTTTACTTTTATTGAAGTATTTTGCCACCGCTGATAAAAAGTCTGTACATAACTCATTGACTGTCAGCCGTTTTTGATGATTTCACTGATTTTCAAGACCCACAGAATATTATGTGCTATAACTATGTGACATATGAAACCAGATTCTGAAAGACTGGACTGTTTACTTTCATCAGCAAAAATAATTTTGTTTCTAGCTAGTTTTGTTGTCCTGTAACCCCCGAGTCGAATAGAGGGAAGTTTGACAGAAATCACCAGTCTCAAACAAATCAATGGCAGTCAATGAGTTGATAAATAAATGTATTTGTGTGTATGACTCCTGCCCATTGTCTTCTGCAACAACAACAAAAGCATAGATTTGTCAATACATTCCGTTTTAAGAAGTTTCCTCTCCTCACTGGCTGCATGCACAGATACAACACTTTTACATAAATCCTTCTAGTTCCACACAGTTGCTGCTGTACTAAACGTGGCCTATTATTCAAATCTGATGTGAAGAGAAGAGTGTGCTGTTGTTTGTACAACAGGGACCCACTCTTCACTATAATGGCAGCAAAGGAGGTCATAAATAATGGATTGAAGATCACTTACACCTCATGAAGCAGGCTTTCAAGGAAGATTGGATCACGTTTTGCTGTTCAAAAGGCATTCTTTATATTTTTCACCTGCGTTTATAAAGAAAAACGGGTAAAAGCTCTTTAAATGTGGACCCTTGCTGTGGTGAGTGTGTGTGGAGATGGATATTGAATTAAAATACATATTTGCTCTTGCATTTCGCTCTTGCTTTGCACACACAGTTTCATCTCCTTACATCTGATTACAATATCTAATGCATTTCAAATGTCCAAATTTAATGAGAAATATTGGTTTAGTGCCTGTGCTTGATTGTCTGTTTCTTTTTGCTTATTCAGATTGGACATAGAGCATCTTGTACAATTGGCTTGGCTTATAGTTTTTTTTTAAATGATTGCAAATAATGAGACAAGTCAGAATGTAGGCAGGTAATTGCTCCCTGTTAAAAATATATATATGAAAGAAGAATCATTAACATTGAGTAGAATTTGGCTGACTTCTATTTCATTTGCATTATCTCATCTTGTTTGCGCTGTCCTTCTGGATTACTTCACTTTATGAACTGAAATAATAAAAACGTTAAACACTTTTGCCATTTACTCTCATCTCTGTTAACTTTGTGAGGTCGCTCTGCAGCAGCTGTTTCCACACTGCCCCTCAGTGGTTCATCTGTGAAACTAGCACTGACAATTATGAGCTGAAAAGTTTGAGATTTTTACAGTAAAATACAAATTCAAAGTAATCTGTTACGTTTGAGTATTTGTGGAGAAATATTCTGGTGAGATGATTAGATCTAACTGCATATCTCAATAGAATCCACTCACTCGTCATTCCCATTAATGAACCAATCCCCCAATTATGTAAATTAACACAAGTTGAAGTTGTTCACATAAATACCAACAGTACCATATTGCAGAGCCATCTAATTGGGTCCCTACTTTTGCATAATTGCAGCAGTCGGGTTCACATCCTCGGCTAACCTCTCCTTTAAGTATTGTTTTTCAGCACACAAACAGTTAATGGAGCGATTATGCAGAAGCACCACTCCTGGAGGCCATTTGGCAAGAAGCAGGGCAGCGCGGCGTGGGACCCAAGAGTGGTGACTGTGCTGATGGTACACATCCGTGGGGCCTGCTGGGACAACTTTATGGATATTACACTTTTGTCACAAGAGTTTGACTTTTACCATTTAGCGCAAGAGACATAACTGAACCAACTGACCCGTCACAATACAGTCGAGCAAAACCAGCACACGATTCCATTCATATGATTCAGTATATGCCATGTACATGTAACGTCAAGGTGGTTTCTATGTTTTGTATAAGCATTTTAATCATATTTATTGCATAACAAAAAAAATACAATGTGCAACCATTTTAATAAACGCGTCTATATTTCACAGTTATTTCCATTGTAAGAAACATTTTAAAGAATTATAACGTATACTGGCTCTTCTTTGTTTGGCCTTTTCCATTTTAAAGGCATCTCATTGTATTCCTAAAGTTTGGATCTCTTCAAGTGGGGACTCTACCACAGACTTTGCCCACCCTCTATGACTAAGTTATGCCCTGTCATGTAGTCGGAGGCGTCACATGCCAAGTAGACCACCGCTGCTTGCAGGTCTGTCACTTGAGCCAGTCTACCAGCAGGGATATCTGACAGCCAGCGCTGCACCAGGGGCTGCAGGCTCTCGGAGTGGATGAGAGGGGTGTCCACGATGCCCCTGAAAGAAAGTGATAGACATGTAGTAAAAGAGGCAGGGAAAAAACACACACAATGGAATCACAAGGCATCATATTGGAGAGTGGCGGCTTTTAGTGACAAAAATAAACCCAATTCTCTTCCGATAAGAAGCGCATGTGGTTTCTGAGGTATTTATTGTGGGCGATGACATGTCTCCAGAGGCCTGAAGACAATCACTGTGTTTGGTTCTTCTAACAACCAAGTAGCCCATGTACAGTAGTTTTCAACATATCTCCACATCACTACATTGTCATTTAAGAACGTCTTTACCTGTTCTACTTGATAAGTTCTAGTGTAGCATTTGTTCAAGTAAATCTAAACTTTCCAGAGTAAATATGTGTGCAGTGACTGCAGTCTCAGATCCCAAGCAAAAAAATTATCTCAGCAGTAGTGGCTCTCAACTGATTTAATCTAATTTTAAACCACTAGATGTTGCCAGAACACTACAACTCTCTATAGGGGGCGTGTGTGAGACTTGACTGCTGCTTGACAGATCCATGGTTTTATACCACAGGCGCAGAGAGACGAACGTCATGCTGTACAAAACAACGTCACTTTGCACTCCAGAGCCAATGGAGAGGCCAGGCACCAAATTCAAATGTAGTAACAACGATACTGTAGTCTAGAGAGGGCGCCACACAGACGATTTTAGGCTCAAAAGTGAGATTTTATCAAATTTGCACTAAAATGTCTAAAAAAAAAATGACCAGGACATGTAGAGAGCACTATAAGAAACATATTTATGCAGTTTATGAATCAAAAAATAAGTTGATTTGGTGTTTAGTTGTCCTTTAAAATCTCTCATACATGTGTAAGGACGTGTAACTATTAATTGAAGATAGTTGCCGATTTGTGAAATGAAAAATATTGAATTAATGGTGGGGGTGGCAGTCAGAGCTACTGGGTGCAGCTCTGACTGCCGCCCCCCAAACCCAGAAATTAATTAAGGAGAAGAAAATGGATGGATGGATGGATAATTGTTAGCCCTAAAGTTGTAACCTTGTACAGGTCCCTATTGTCATGGTTTTTTAGTTATTTTGTACTTTGATTTTATTTTGACAGCAGTTCTAAGTTAGTTTGGTTTTAGATTTACTTCCTGTCCTGTTCCCCGCTCTAATCTCTTTCACCTAGGTCTTTCTGTGAGTATATATATGTACCCTGTTCTCCTGTCCGCTTGTTGCTGGTCCAATGTCTTTGTTCGTCTGTGTTCCTGATTTTTGAGTTTCATTTGGATTTTTGATTAGTTTTTCATTAAATCATTATCATTTGAGTTCCTGCAGTCCTGCTCCTTTCCACTGCATGACACGTAATACGTTTGACAACACATTCCACTTTTCCCCGTGGTTAAAACATCATAAGAGACCTACAATCTACATTCTTACCACATTGTTCCATCTTTCCTCTGCCCTTCGATACAGAATTCCAACATTTGGGAACATTAGCACATCCGAAGGAGCATGTGACACCTTGGTTAACGTATTCCACCTCAATTATATTTCTCTTCAGCAGCCCGTTATCTGGAAGCTTTCCTGGCAATCAGAGCTCCTGTTTTCTCCCTCAACCAATTTTCCAGATAATGCTGCTTATCACAGCTGCAGCTAAAGTTGCCAACGGAACAAGGCTCCAGTCAACCTCGCAAAGCGCTAATTGTGTCCCCCTTTTTTATGCATATTTACCCACTGTCACTTCAAAAGGAAAATCACTAGCCCGTTGAGACGTGGAGCTAACGATAGGAAAGAGAATTTGCAAATTAAAATGAGCAAATAAGCAGCAGATAAATAAAGGCCAGCGTTGTAGATTTGGGGCTAAGGGAGGCTCGGCTTGACATAAAAACGCATGGCTGTGTCTGTGTTCCGCTGCACTGACAAATGGATGCAAACAAGGCCTTATTGTGGCGCTTGGCGTGAGGTTGCTAATTTGGTTCCCTAATTGAATAGAACAATAAGAGCACATGTTTGCGCGATTCATCCCTCAAGACGTCATCTAATTAAGAATGGATGCTTTGTTTCAAGACGTAAATTAGCACGTTGTTCTCAAATGGGGCTCTCGATTTGAAAGCACAATGATCATGGTTTGCTTTTTGCAGCTCAATCGGGTTTTTTTTTGCCACATCTGAGTTAGGCAATACACACATTTCACGTCGTTGCGGATATTTATGATGAAGTAGAAGTTTGAGGAGTGATGAAAGTGGCGGTGTCTGTGTCAGGAATCTGATCTCCAACAATGGACGATGCACTTTTAAAAGAATGAGAAAGAACATGATGAACGACTGTCTCAACCTCTCGTTTTCAGTTAAACAAAATACTCTTAAGTTTGTTCCTCGGTGTTGGATGTAGGTTTGATTTGCCATCTTGCTGGCCCTAGAGCAAGACCAAACCACATAAGGGAGGGGGTGATTAAAACATGTAAGATTTGAATGAGAAAGTCACTATTTCTTTGAGTTTTGATTGTTTTTTTTTTTTGAGTCGGATTATTTATATGTTTAATTTGGTGTTTGTGATGTCCTGGACCTGCGTGAGTGTGTGTGTGTGTGTGTCCGTATGTATATGAATGTATCTATGTACGTTATTATTATTTTTTTGTGTTAAATGTACAAAAAACGATTACAAATAATAGGTTTTATATTTATATAGAGATTTTAAAGAGCTCAAAGACGCTTCCTTATTCAAAGTACACACATACACATCCAGACAGACACACAAAACTAAAAAAGCAGGTATGAAGAGCAATGCTGAAACTAGGAGTAGATGACAAGGTTATGTGCTTGGATTTGACAGTGGGATATTTAAGATAAGATAAGATAGTCCTTTAAAACTTACGGTGAGATACAGTTCACGCACACTCCTCGGTCGATCCACTCGGTGCCCAGGGTTTGGGTGAGTTTCACCACTCCAGCTTTGGATGTGTTGTATGAGAGCTGCTTCTGTGGATGAGGTACTGAAAACAGACAATCGTGTGTTTACGTTACAACTCATGCACTTTGAAATTGTTATAGAAATCTTTTAGTAAAGCAGTCTGAATTAACACCAAATAGTTATAAGTGCAAGTTATTAACTAATTCTCGACTCTGGATTCAAATACAGCACATATGGTCTGTTGGCAGCAGGTCAGCTGATAGATATGAGACGTGCTGCAACATGTCTTTGGCAATATCTGTGTCAAAGAACAATATGATCAGGTCAAAAGCAGATTATTATGAGTTTCAGAGTTGTATCAGCGTAAGGAAGCGTACAGAGGAGCCTTGAGCGACTCAAATCAATACTGACTTCATTTGTGTAATATCTAGAGTAGATATGTCCTTGTTTACTCTGGTCTATTTAATGTCCGTCATTTCCTCATTCGGGGCAGACGGTTTCAGACGGCTGCCAGGGGGTATCGTATCGGTTCTGTTATTCATTGTATATGTGCACATTTACTAATGAAAAACTCACACTTTGATTGTAAAACATCTCTTGGTTATTTACATTATTTTTGTTCTCGGTCCGTGCAGAAATTCTACAACAATTGCAAGAACATAAACCATTTCAGTTGTGCGTTCATAGACGGTCCATAAAGAATTTTCCATGGGGGGGGGGGGGGGGCCTGTAAAATTAATAGCTCATAATGTCCAGTTATGCTCTGTCCTTAGCAACAAAGGCAGGATCCATTTGTTTGCCTTGACCATCACAGATGCTGCACACTGCATGGGATGCTGGGACAGGGGCTCGTTTTCCGCTGGTTGATTAATTATCATAAAGGAGGGCTCCAAGTTACATACAACTTTAGTAGTTAACCTCATCACCTGCCGATCCGATGCCAAATGGCTTCAGTGTGAGTCCATAGATGATAAATACAGGCCAGCTACAGAGAGGCCCAGGACGGTCCAGGGGAGAGACCAGGCTTGGACAATCAATCGAGCCAAATCTTGTTGAGTTTCAAAAGAAAGGGTACCTAGGATTTGTATTTATAATTTCAAAAACATGACTTATATGTCCTGTTCAGATAAAAAAAAAAGTGATAGCAACACAGGGATCTTATAAAGAAGGAGGGAAAAGAAACAACATGCTGTTATCCTACTTCGTCCTATGTCTCGGCTGAAATGGTCTTATAAAAGATGATTAGATTTGTGCTGCGGGTTGTGTTGAATTCTTACACTGTTAATTCTTACATCAGCATTATTTCTGTTATAGATTTTAATAGTCCTCCATCTCTTATAAAGTTTCAGGGCTCCATGTTTTGTCTGCTCCACATCAAACCTTTAAAAAGGGTTAACTTTTAATCTATAGACTATAAAGAACCTAACGCATGAGAAATAGGGACACACAACCACAACTAAAATCTGCACTTGATTGTGTTTAATCAATCAATCTGCAGACAACCAACAATTATTTTGGTCGATAATCATTTCATCTAAATTACAAGTATTTCTATGGGAAACCTAAAAAAAAATCTGAATCCACGGAGCAAGCGAGCAGAGGATTTCGGTATTTATGAATACTTTTTATCCGTGTCTTTTGTGTTTAAATGCCAAAAGTCTTGTGAGTACACTGTGGGACAGATACAACAATCAGCACATCGATCGACCGGACAGCCCGCAATTTGAGAACCATCAGTCTATTGAGATGTGTAAATGTGCTGATGGTCTGGTGGGGCAGCGTGAGTAGATAGCGCAGGTATAAGGCGAGACCGGGCTGGATAAGGAGAGGCTTGGACCTCAGAGGAGCAAGTGAGGAGGAGCGCAGCCCGGGGCTTACATGTAGATAGAAGGTGAAATCCCACTTATCAGGGCCGGAAACATAACAGCTCCAAGCGGCTAACAGCGCTAATCCCCGCTCAAGACCTGATGATACAGCCCCAAAATACCATTCAGAAAACTCCTTCATCCTTTAAATAAACCTGCATTGATGTTTTTTTGCCGTCTTAAAGAGCTGTAATCCGCAGGGGAACGAATAAGAAAGCATTCGTCAAAGCCGTCTTTAAGGTTCGCACCGATACTTATTGGTCGTTTCAAGTGGGAGGAAACATGTATTTTACCACGTACGCCTTTGACATGGAGTTCAGTTCTGATAAGGAATCAAACAGTGTACCCTTTACCCAGAATGCCTGTGAGGGAATGTTTATATGCCAGCGTGAAGGGTAGGGGTCAAGCTCAGGAGTCAATCTATGCGGCAGAGCGGTCACTTAGAAGCAAAAGAAAACACAAAAGACAACTCTTTTGGCATTAAGGTAAAGGTTCATCACTCGTATCCAACTTTCGAGAGATTCCACAAAGAGTTAAGTTTAAGCATTGACAAACACCATCACTACAAATGATCATATAACAAAAAGTGAGTTTACATTTAATGACGATATCCACATAAGGATTTCAAATCATCTGTAGAAAACTCAAAGTTCAGGAATCAATCTCTTTTTTTTCATAACGCTTAATCTCAACGGCATTTGTCTCAAAGGATTTTACAAAGTTAATAATTATGCTTCGGTTTTATATAGCGCTTTTTTGGGACACTCAAAGACGCTTCACATGTCATTGTTCATTCACTCCATACACCAAACTACTTTTGTAGCCCCTTGTAGCAGACTGACAGAAGCAAGACTCATCCAAGGCTATCTGGGTGAAGTGTCTTACCCAACGACTCAACGGCAGCAGAGGGAGTTGGTGGAGAAAGTCTTGTGGTGGGCTCGAACCCACAAACTTCAGGCTCAAAGGCCAATGCTCTACCAACTGAGCCACTGCAGCCCCCGAAGCTCATAAAACCTAAGTGGTTTGAGCATGATGTAAAATATACCAAGTGTTCATTCATATAAAAAAAGAATAGTGTGCTTCTCCAACTTTAAGTATCTGTCTACTTAAAGCTGAAGAACTTTTATTTGTCTCATAAATACATTTTGTTTTAGTTACAGTTTGTGAACAAGCCAGGCCACATTCTGTATTTATCCTAATAGAAATGTTTTTTGATTTGTTTACATACTGAGAGCTAAGGCTGGGAAATAACTCAAATGTATTCAATGTAATTGACCTTTTTTTAAAACAAAGATGTGAGAAATTGTGGCGGTCAGGAAGATATTCTTTCTTCTGGCCTCTGTAGCTGAGTCCACAAGGCACAGGGTTTTAAAAGAAGCACATTGATTATATTTGCGATGTCAACGTCCATATAATACTTTTATCGCTAGGGAACTCAGAAATGTTATTGAAAATTCTGAACATTGAGCTTTTTTCCTTAAACAGGTTTTTTATGGTCCAAATGGGGCAACAAAATGAGAAAAAAAAAATGACAAAAGATTTATTTGTACAGTATTGCTACATTGATCATTGGTGAGGGTGATCCCTATTTTTTCACTTTTCTGTCAAAAAAAAGACTAACCTGAAGATATGAAAGCTTTAAGAGAGGCCAAATATACATGTATGTGAAAATAGTTATGAAAGCAGCATTTTATGTTAGTGTATAGAGTATGCATAGTTATGTTTTTTTGGTTTCAAAGCGAGGGACTCCAGATTTAAGTTATGTATTTGATAACTATGTGTATGATGCAGTAACATAAATGGACCTATAAAAGAACCCAGTACGTATATTTCACAATTCAAAAATCCTGCGATGTCCCAACTTTTTCAACAAGTATACGTCTGGCAAAGACTGTAGCAATAATGTGCGTACAGCTTCAATGGACAATGCTCTCTCCGGCAGATGGACAAAAAGCTGTCATTGTGCATTTTAATTGGACTTTTACAGCTGCGTATTGAGGCTTCCACTTGGCCAGAACAGCTCCCATCTGATTACACATTATGACAATATTATAACAGATGTCCCGACCAATAAAGTATATTCCTGAAGGACTCTGTGTAATGTGTATAATTGATCATTTTCTTTTATGCAGTCTCTATTTACCAGCATGCTCCTGGTTTACAGATCGCCCCCGCCGCCTGGACAGGGGCCCATATGGCACATTACTGGCCGTTTGACTGCTATACTGCTGATGAAGTGATGTCGCTCTCTGGAGGAGGAACCAGTTTGCAGGGGTAGTGGAAGGGGTTTAAGGGGGGGGGGGGGGTCCAAAGTCTTCCGCTGTTCAAACAAGTCCTTGGGCATGATGCACAGGAACACTGCCTTCCCACACTCACATCCTCCAAACCGCTCCAAACGCGCTGTTTTTATTATGATGCAAAAGTGCCGCACTCAGGCGCAATCACAACACTTTGTATTTCCTGTCGTGTTTTCTTTCTGCTTCAGAGGGGGTTAAAAGTTACGGAAGAGGAAAGCTGCCTAATCCTTTTAAAAGGGGATCTATTCTGTAAAGTATAAAAGCTTGACACAGAAGGATGCCAGCATGTTTTTGGTGTTTGCTGCTCATTTATTATTCCTCTACTCCACAAACACGATGAAATATACGGTACAGCATTTTGACTTAACATGAGATTTGCAGAGGGAGTAAGCACTTTAGTCTTATTTCAAGTAAAGTTGTAATCAATTTCTCATACCAATGGGAATTCTCTCTATATATCTGGCAAACATTATTTTAAAACAGTGAGAACATTTGCAAATTAACCCTTTAACATTCACTCCTTGAAGAAAGCAATGTATTTTTTATTTCTTGGATTTTCTAATAAGAATACTAATAACACAAATTAACCCCTTTTTTTTTAAATTTATTATAGACCTTTAACAGACGGCTGAGATGCTGCTTGATGTTAAAAGTGGTTCAAACCAAGTGAGATGCCCCAAAGAGGTAGATTTCAGTTCCAAGCAAACTTAAAATAGACTCAAAAGGTGATCTACCAAATGATTGAGGAAACCATTCATTCTTTTCTATTCTAATAAGTCTATTCTGTTAAGTACAAAGCTTGGTCTAGAAGTGCCAGCATGTTTTTGGTGTTTATATTCCTGCAGCAGAAAGTTGTCTATCGAGGTGCTGTCTAAAAGCTGTTCTGCGTGAACTAATAATACTCTTTTTTTTCTATCTTCCCTGTGAACCTTTTGTCTGCCCGTTCTGTTCCCCTCCCACCTCTTTTCAGTGCTCGAACTTTGGTCTCTAAGCCCTTTAACGGTAATGTGTACACTGTAAGGGGGGAAAAAACAAACAGGAGAAATATGATTAGCTAAAAAAAACTCCAAAAACAATATTGTGCATTTCTGTGGTCATTTCTAATAAACTTGTGGAAGACTTATTATCAGTATTTGAAATCTCAACACAGACCTTATTTACGCTTGCCCCTTATTAGCGCGCCCCTGGAAACGATGGCAGCAGATCAAGACGTTAATCTCGTTAAACTAATGTACGGTAAAGGTAAAGCGCACATTTACATTTAACAAACAACATTCTGCGCTATGAAAAAAAACAAATCAAGTTTTCATTAGAATTATAGGAAATGCAAGACAGTGGTTCATGAGCTATGACAACAACTCAAGCCTGAACAATTGTGATTAAAGTCAAACTGAACTATATTTCTAAACTTAATGCGAACAAATAGAAGAACACACTATTAGTAATTAACTAGTTTTAAGACGTCTAAGACATTCTGCATTTTGCCTGATTTAAGTTGATCCAACTGTATACTTCTCCATGCATTATATTGATCTGTTATGCAAGGAATTAGGAGAGATATTCCAGACATATTATTCCCTAATTCAGTCAGAATCTCTTCACGGCTTACCGATAAGACTGGCCATGGAGGCAGTGTTGATGATTTTGCCGTACCCTTGCTTCAGCATGACCCGCGCGGCCGCCTGGGGGGAGAGAGCGCAGCATTCAGAACGTGTCACTACAGCCTTAAACACGCACACTTAAACACCAAGTACAGATACATCAACTCATGTGTGTGTGGGGGTGTGAACACAAGAAAAAAACAAACATTTAAATATGTGTTAGGACCTGCCTTTCTTTACGGTGGAAAACATGCACTGGGTATGAATTTGAGATGATTAATTTTTTCCGAAAAACTCCTCAAATATAGGAGTTTGATAATTCCTATAGTAGGATAATTCTGTTTATAACGTTTTTCTGTTTTTCCAGATAAATACTGCTTATCTTAGTTAAACAACCAACAACTTGATATAAAGTGTATTTCTATTTTTTATTATTATTATTTTTACGAAGTTAAACTTTATTGATCTACAAGGGGAATGCTTGGACACAGTAACTCAACATTAAAATGGCAATAAAAAATAAATTTATCAAAACATAGATCTATCCCGAATTCAAAAATCCCATTTACTTTTACAAAACTTCAAAGATAATGCCTGTTTACGGTGATAATAAATGACTTCTATTCATGGTGTAGCTTATATATATAGTTGGTCATATTTAGATGGTTTGAAAGAAGGTTATTATTCATTTTGAGGGTGCGTTGGGTTTAGTCTGTCCCCCACCTGACAGCACATGAAAGTCCCTCGGAGGTTCACACTGAAGGTTTGGTCCCATTCCTCTAAAGTGGTGTCTTCGCTCGCAGAGTTCATGTTGATACCAGCGTTGTTGCAGGCGATGTGCACGGACCCCCATTTGGACATGATGCTGTCAATCATCCTCTGCACGTCCTCAGACTTACTGATGTCTGCGGTGATGGCCAGGCCGTTGATCCCTGTTGGAAGGTGCTCTTAGTATTTAAACAGACAAATGAAATAGAGGTAAAACTATGTGGGTTTTTCCAATGAAGTAAAACACTGGAAAAAACAGTTCCAGCGCAGTGTGTTTTATAACCTTTACAATGCTGCCATCTGCTGGTCAATATAATCAGAACAACACTCTTTTTATTTTTTATTGTTGATAAAACTGTACAGTAACAACTATTCGGATACATGTTGATACATGTCCTAATGGGTGATATAATTACACAAACCATTATACCCGTGGAGTAAAATGGTTATGAAAGTCTACGTTGTTAAACATATTCTCATCAATACACTGCAAAAACAGACAAAATTCTAACATTGCATGAATTATTGGTTGATTTTAGTGAATGTTGCCGATAACGTTTCTTGTTTTAAGACAATATTTACTTAATTTAAGATATTAAAAACTACTTTATTCAAGCATTTAGTACTTTATCAGTTTTTGCAGTGTATCTTAGATAGTTAATGGTTTTTTTGAGTTTTTCCTTGCCGATGCAGGAGGGTCTGTTGGACAGTTGGCGTCTAACAAAAAGGACTGTGGTGATGATCCAGGACACGTTAACATTCTACAACATGTATGGACATTTATCAACATGTTTTCTATATTCTTTGTTGTGTCTTAACTGTTGATTCTCTGATCTGTGTTGTACTGTTGTGATTTAGGGCTTTACAAGAATACATTGTATTGTAGTGTGTATTGTATTGTATATATATATATAAATAGATAGTTAAATTTTTAATTCATCCTAAACTAAACTTCTTTGAGCATGCATTTATGTTTTAGACCGTACCTTTCAGAGTCAGTTCTTTAACAACGGTCTCAGCTTTAATTGGGTCCACATCTACCACAGCCACATTCGCCCCCGCCTCCCCCAAAGCGTGGGCAAAGGCTCGACCAATGCCCTGTCCTGCTCCGGTCACGTAGGCCACCCTGCCATCCAGACGCATACGCTCCAAAATAGTGCACCCTCTGACTCCACGGAACACCTCATCCTCGGTGATGATAGCCTGTCAAAGAACAAAGCTCCCTTTATTGTTCAAAATCTCTGATGTGTGGTCAACGGGGACAGAATGTGAATATGCTCCTTAAAGCTAAAGTAATGTTTATTTATATAGTGCCTTTCACAGACCATAGTCACAAAGCGCTTTACAATTGTGGGTATTTGTAAGTACCTAACTTTCAAACCACAATAAATGTTCTGTAATTATGTAAAATTAGTTCCTCAAGACAGTTTGGTTAAAGCACTAGTTTGCATATTAATGTATTCATTGGCAAATTTTTCAAAACAGGAAAGTTTAAAAAGAGGACTCACAGTGTATGCAGAAGAAAACATGTTTAGTAAGATCGAGATTCGAGATGAACCATTCTTGTTCTAAAATATGTATTTTTAACACTTCATTATTGACTGGAATTGAGGATAAGCCCATTTTGAATTTCACTTTGAAGTGCAGTTTATGAGAACAACATTTTTTTTAAGGAATTGGGATGAGTCCATGTCACTGATGATTGGCCCAACACTGCAAACATGATAAAATGTTATTACCACATACAGTAAAGTGACTTAAAACAATATTTGTCAATGGAATGAGTGGTTTAGACAGATTTCAGGATAAATTGCAATTCATTTCTCAAACCAAGGGAGAATTATCTCGTCTTTTGAACAAACACACATTGTTGTGAGACAATTAAAATAAATGCATGTCAAGACTTTTCTCATAAATCAAGCAATTCACTGTCACTTTTTTAGTGCATTCCTCTTGTACCAATCTGTTCCCTTTGAACAGTCAAGAAGCTTTCACACATTACTCCATACCTTAGTCCTCGAGCATTCAGCTGCTGCAGAAACTCGTCGAACCACTGTAATCCCATCTCGCAACGGTAGTAACACCTGCAGAAAGAAAATAAAAAAGAAACAAAACCAAATAATGGGGAATATGATAGAATGGGAGCACAAACCTGTTCCACACGGGGATCATTGACCACAAACGCATTGAAATCCCTCAGTGCCAGTGCATTCTCATCAGTGACATTTTTCAAATAAACTTTGGCTTTAAAGAGTGAGTTGTCCACACATATGACTCCCCGTAATCTCAGCAGGTTATTGTCCAGAATAAACTTGTAGTAGTTGATGTAATTAGATTTATCTGCGTCAATAAAGACCATGTCAAACTGTTCTCCCGCTTCTGTCAGCTCCTGGAATGGAAGAAAGAAAAGACAATTTTTATTCTCTGGTCTTATTCTTAATTACTGTATATCCCTAATTACATGTCTAAGTGTTATGTAGCATTGTCATTTAGCTGTTCCAATTCAGAGCTGTCCGGGGCACACATAAGATATGAAGAGCACTATTGACTTTGACGTTTCTCAGAGTTCCATGGGTTTTTTTTTTTTTTGCAAGTGGTTTCTGTCATGTACCCATGTGTGCAACTTTGTGGCTTTGTTTGCGCTTTGTTGTTTAAACAATGAATTTCACCAGTTTTTAAGTTGCCCCGACCACTCGAGTCGAAATGTTTTGACCCGATATTTTGGTTAAGCCATATAACCTATAAATGAATCTAGTTTCAACCAACTCTATTTTGGTCATAGCGCCGACCAATGGCATAAGGTCAGTTAGGGTGCTTTCACACCTGTTGGTCCAGTAAAGTGGTTCGCTTGGGCCCTAAAGTTGTTACAATGTTGCAGTTCTCAACTAGTTTGGTTCTCATTCACACCAGTGTTTTTGCAAATGAACCAACCACTGTGGATGTTACATATTCCGCCACCCAAATACTGTGTATTGGATGACGTACGTATGTGACTGTGCTACTCTGCGTTTTTTGGCTATTTCTTATCATCGTTGCTTTGTGCCGCACAAATACTGTTGTTCCAGTTTGTATCACAGAGATCAGCACGAGAACACTCTGTGGGTGTTTTTGACTATTCTATCACATAAAAAAACAATGTGTGTGTCAAAAAGTGAGCTACGCAACAGAGCAGGGCCATATCGAGGCCGGTCTGCGTTCTCACCAGCAGCGAACCAGACTGGAGTCCACATGGAACCGCACCGAGACCAGCAGTTCTTTGGTCCGGATCAAATTTAACTGGTCCACTTTCACACCTGCTCAAACGAACCGTACTTGCAGGTGATCCAGACTCCAGTCCGCTTTAAGTGGACTAAATGGTGCAGGTGTGAAAGCACCCTCAGACGACCAACACCAATCATTCATGCACACACCAGACTCACACAAGGTGATGTGGGTGAAGTATTAGTGTTACAATTGCTCTGCAATTTACAGCTGCAACTTTTTCACTATATCAAAAGGGTTCTATGCACGCCTTAGCCTGAGAATCAGACCATCATTCATTGCACAATCAATAGCTGCAATCTTGAATCTACATAATACAATCACCTTGAGGCTTTCCATGGCAGATCCAATTTTAACGTGTATTTTTTTTCCATGAGTAGATTTGTCAAAAACGGGTTGGGCAAATTCCTTAAGATATGGCTCCAACTCTAAAGCAACAAGACGGCCATCATCAGGAAGTGCTTCAGCCATGGATAGGGCCCCGTAGCCTGTGAACATTCCAATTTCCAGGATTCGCTTGGCCTGACACATATGCACCAGCGTTTTCAGAGTTTGACCTGAAATAGACCACAAAGAAAAGTCTTTGTTGAGCTATACTGCTACATGGGAAAGTGCTAGAAAAATCCTAAATCCCCTTATCTGAATCATCCATCTATCCATTTTCTTCCCCTTAACACCCTCAGGGGGGGGGGGGGGGGGGTGGCAGTCAACTCTGCATCCAGTACACAGAGCACCAGCCCCTCACTGATCCTCCTGCAGGTGGTGAGTCCACAGGAACCTTGGTCTTTCAGTGGGGGCTTCAGGCAAAGTGGGGTTAAGTGTCTTTCCCAAGGACACAACGACAGCAGACATCAGTGGGAGCCGTGAAGTAGGTCTCGTGGTGGGCTCGAACCCACGACCTTCAGGCTCAAAGGCCAATGCTTTACCAAATGTTGCCCCATCAGTATCAGAATCATCTTCTTTCTGAGCTTTACTGAAACTTTCCCAACCATCCCCTGTAACTTTTGGCATCTTGCTAACTTACAAACAAATAGAAAACAAACACAGGTGTATTGAGTGAATAACACAATAACAATACTCGCACTTCCACCCTCTTGCCCCTCATTCGCGCGTTCCCGATGATGGGTGCGAGTGCGTAGGGTCCCAATTCTCCAGGGAGGTCTTTGGCCCCGCCCCCTTTGCACCCCTGATCCACACTTTGCGGTAGCCTGCATCTAAGCGGACTCTGGAGAAGGATATTGCCCATAATTCTTTGCGGTACACACCAAAACGTCGGGAAAATGCATTTAAGTGTAAGTTTTGAAATATATATGCTGCATGTGTGTAAATAAGTTTCGCTAAGTTACTTGGAAAGAAGCATGAATGTCTGATGAAGAATTACGGACATTCTATGGTAACAATTGCATAACTTTTTTAAAGCAAGCGTTCATATAACATTCAATTTAAACTTTACACTTAGTACAATAAACTTAGGATGTATAAAAACTTACCATGATAAGTTAGTTACCCACATTTAACTTCAAATTATACAGCTATCTCAAATTACGAATAACCAATATACATGTATTTTAACGTGTGTGGAGCAACTCATTTCATTTCACACAGGGTCGGACAAAATGACCTTTAATTTGATAAAGTTTAGGTCTGAAAATGACCATCTCTTAACTAGTCGATGACGTAACCTACACTGTCCCAATTCCGCCATTTTTGCACGCTTGTAACCAGTGCATGCAAACCCTTGCGTGCACTTCAAACAAATGCACACTTTGTAGAGGAGTGTAGGGTGTACTGTGGGTATTGGGATGGGGCCAGTATCTCAGTCAACTCAACCATGTTATTTTCTTCATAATCTCTGTTCATTCATATGTAAAGGTATGAATGTTTTACCTTCCACATGTCCAGTGATGCACTCCTTAGGAAGCCGAAACATTGTTTTACCATCCTTGTACACTTGGTCCCAGTCATGAGTAACTGTTTTTCTGAAAATGATGAAAAATGTAAAATATAGATTCCACGTTATGTTTTACAACCATTGTCTTCATACCTATACAGCTCAGTCAGGGGTTCACTTTCTGGTGTAGTAATATTCTCCAGGTAGTCATCCAGGCCACTAGCGATGTCCAGAGCCCGCTGTAAGTGATCCATAAGCTCTGTGGGGACACCATTGTTTGCTGTAGCTATACCTACAGCTTTAGATAGAAGATCCACAAGAACCTCCACAGGGGTGTCTGGAACTTAGACATGAAGAAAAGACATATTTTTATAAAGCATTCACTCCATACATGGGACAAACATAACAAAGCAAGAAAACATATCTGTACCTTATTGTATTTTCACTAGTGTCCTTATATTGTTCAAATTTGGGATGGGCTTCAATAGGCACTGCACAAACTAAAATTATATATTTTGTATGATTTATTGTAAGTGCATGGTATGTTAAGTTCGGGGTAAAACATGAGCTAAGCCAATTCATGACAAGCAGCTGAAGAACTAAAAATAAATATATGCGTTGTTCATGTGCAATTTAGATAACACTCTCTCTACCAAATAAGATGAGCCTGCACAGTGCCTACGTTTTAATGCACGCAGAGTTTTTCTCAAAAGAAAACTCTCCGTTGCAACTGCATTCTCTTTTAATGTATAGTATAGTAGTAATAGCTGAAGTCACTTACCTTTTCCATTACGCGTGGTCATGGTGCGCGCTGTGGGCGGGACGCAACGTTGTGGCGAAGTCGGCGTGAAGAGGAGTCTGTTATATACGTATTATATGCATGGATTATATCACGTTTAAAAGACAACAACGTGGCGCAACTTATGGGCGCAACCCACAATGGTCATTCCCCAAGCGCATGTGCAGACTTTGCGCAAGGAAATCAGTCAACTTTTGTTGTTTGGAAGTGGGAGGATCATAGGGAGGATCCTGAACGTCTCACTTACGAAATAGTCGAAATAGCCTCAAGTAATTGTTACGTGATGTCTCGTTTGTAGGTTTGATAATATGTCAATGGAGGGAAAAATGTGCTTAAATTTGAATGAAAGAAGTAAATCAAACTCAACCAAATCTTCAATTGGCAAGCTTTGACAGCTGTCATTGACTCAAGAGATGTCTGTGGTTTAATAGGAAAGGGGTAAACGAGGAACTATCTAGATCCATGGGAATGATATACATAATATGTTTTCAAAATGTGCATTAACGTGTGCATTAACCCATAGTTAATAACCCATAGTTTTTGTGCATTCATAACCCATAGTTGTTGTGTAAGTGATGTATGTAACTGCTGTATTAGGTGTCTAACTCCTCCCATGTCTTTGAGCCATTCCCCAAAAAATGTAGTCGTATATAAACAGCTATGTGAGGCTCGTTTATCAAGACTTTCAGCCTGCTTCTACCATAAACACTTTTGGCGAGATGGGGAAAGTTCACCTGCTCACCGGCACCAAAGAGACGACCACAGAGTATAACCTGGTGCGGGTCAATAGTGCATGGACTCGCAAAGAGAAGCACAGCCACACAGCGTCTACAGAATCTGTGTCTCCAGCTATGATGTGAGTATGTCAAGAGCCACTACATTTTATTGGGCAATATTGTAGTATATACAGTTAATGAATTATGTTCCTTAAAGAGTTAGTATTTTTCATACGTTTTCACAGGCATGTTCCCCTTTGTCACAACTTTAGACCAGCTTTTTCAGAAGGATAAGTGAAAAAGAAAAGACCACCCTCACTCAGCCAATCAGCTCAATATTCTAATTAGATTAAAACATTATGTAGTGGGCGTATTCTAATATAAATCTTTCTAGAACGAGCTAAATCATTGTTTTACCACAGGTACCACAGGTAAATTTCACTATAGAGATTATGAACCTTGGTGGTGATTATAATAGTTGGTGCTGTTCATGTTACTGTCCAAGTACTGTTGGAGTCTTAATCCCATGTATTAGTAGTTGTCATCACACCTCTCCAAAATCACCTGGGGGTCATGTTCTATCACATGAAATTATGACAAGATCGTATCTATCTTGTCATAATTTAACACATTCCTTTCCTGAGAGAGTGAGTGAACCCAATGAACTCCATCCATCCATTTTCTACCCTTTAATCCATTTCTGGGTCAGGGGGGTGGCAATCAGAGATGCCACCCAAGTCTCATAGCACCAGCCCCTCACTGACCCTCTGCAGGTGGTGAGTCCACAGGAGGACAGCTGCTCTCTGAGTGTGAGCATAGCCTTGATCTTTCACTGGGGGCTTTGGGCAAAGTGGGGTTAAGTGTCTTGCCCAAGGACACAACGACAGCAGTCATCAGTGGGAGTCGGTGGAGAAGGTGCAGAGGTGAGAATTGAACCCACGACCTTCTGGCCTTAATGCCAATGCTCTACCAACTGAGCTACTGTCGCCCCAATGAACTCTGTGAACTAAATTTTGGAACGCCTCTCACTCAATGTTTCTTTGACAGTTATGAAAGCCTCACTGACACCGGCACCTGTTGGACAGTGGTCACCCCCATTATCTTCAGCTACAAGGTCATCGAAACCCATGCCCTCCTGGACCCCTGCAATAGCACCCTACTCACAGGCCACACCCAGGGGCCACAGCAAGCCGACAACATGAGAATACCCAAAAAGCCCATGAAGCGCTTTGTGGTGGTTGACCAGGAAGTTTACCAGATCTATGGCCCTGAGATCAACAAGTATTTTGAAGCTAACAATGTTAATTTTAAGATTCTAGCTCTTCCCACTACTGAGGAGAATAAGTCTATGGAGATGGCACTGAAGATCCTTGAAGAACTAAACAGCTTCTCAATAGACAGAAGAACAGAGCCGGTTATTGCGATTGGAGGTGGAGTGTGCTTGGACATTGTGGGCCTGGCCGCATCTCTGTACCGCAGACGCACACCTTACATCAGGGTACCCACTACGCTCCTGTCCTACATTGATGCCAGCGTGGGGGCCAAGACTGGGGTCAATTTTGCTAACTGCAAGAACAAGCTTGGGGCCTACATTCCACCAGTGGCAACATACCTTGACCTGTCGTTCATAAAGAGTGTCCCTCGCAGACATATCTCCAACGGAATGGCAGAAATGTTAAAGGTTAGTTAATCAATTGAGGTTATGCTGTTAATTGTAATGAATAAGTTCTTGAATTATTGGCTATTCAGTAAAGGAAAGAAAAACAAAACAAAACACGTTGTTGAATCATGTGAAGAGATATAAGATTGTGAGAGATTGATGTTGATGTGAAGTGTTTAAGAAAAGACATACTTAAAGCACATTTCATACATTACTATTTGAATAGTCCATTTGCAAAGTAACAAAGATGTTTGGCTTACAAGGCCATACATGTTAGGTTTTACCACTTCTCGTGCCAAGTGTGTTGTAATAAAACACATCGCAAATTGTAGCTAGAAGAATACAAGTGAAACATTTACCAAACTGAGATGTTGGATTTTGCTTATTAACTCTCCATTTAGTTTTCAAACAATTCATACATCTGACTATGGGCCTATCATAAAACAAAGGGCTGCAGGATTTCATTCCAACGAAGCTGGAGCACACAATACCTTGGAAATAGGTGGAGCCTGGTGTGCTCCAGCTTGGTTGGAATGAAATCCTGCAGCCAAACCAACCCTTTGCCCCATGCTGTACATAATAATGATAGATAATGATATTTGCAGATGGCCTTGATGAAGCACAAGGAGTTGTTTGAACTTCTAGAAAAACATGGGCAACATCTACTTGAGTCAAAGTTTCAGTCAGACAGTGAAGTCTTTGGTCCATGCAGTCAGAGTGTGTTTCGCTCTACTCGCCTCGCCATTGTCACCATGCTGGAAGAGCTGGCCCCAAATCTGTGGGAGGACGATCTCAACAGACTGGTGGACTTTGGGCACCTCATCAGTCCAGCACTGGAAATGGTAATCAATTCTCTATCTTCTGCAGCCATTAGAATACCAATAATTGATACAGAAGTAAAAAGTACAGAAGTTCAAATTGTGTTGTCAAGTCTACAAAATTGTTCAATAACTATATCTCAATCCATATCACAGTCAGGCCTGAACTTGGGGATTTTAGATTCTCAAAAATATAGACAAACAATGTGATCCATTTTGGCCAACGGACATTTTTACGTGACATACCTTAGCATCAACAGTAACATTGGAAACCATGGTTTCAGACAGGATTTGTTTTTAACAAATTTTTAAATTAATATATAAATGATTTGTCAGAGAAACCAGATGTTTTCTGTGATTCTCCAAGGCTGAATCTCAATATTCTAACCCTTAGTCCTTCCCCTTCCTCCTACCCCTCCATTTTGTGTGTGCCTTCTCAATACTCCTTAGTGGCAAGGGCTTAGGGAACAAGCCCAAACACAGCCCTTCAACTGGAGCCATTTGAGATGGCCTTTGCCCTTCGCCTCTGGCTCCAAACAGTGGTAGAGCTATGTTTCTACCCTTTGAAATGGGACACACCTTATGAGTATGTTACTCTTTATGCTTATCCTTAACTTAAGGATTAAACTGCAGGGCTCTAAAACGAGTGAATATGTAGAATGTCAGAAATAATTGTAGACTGCTTACTGACACTGTAACCAACTGTTGAAAAATGTCAGATTTTGAGGCAGGTTTCGAAGCACACATGCCCTAGGACCTTTATTTCAGTTTCAGAGTTCTTCAGAGTCGTCATGACCTGGTCCCCTGAATATTTTGTCTTTTGTGAAGGCCTCACACAACTAAAAGCATACCATAATGATGTATTTCCTATTCCTGATTGCATACTGCAATCCTGTGATGAGTAAACTGTGGCTGTTTCAGAGGCTGCTCCCGGCCTTACTGCATGGTGAGGTAGTAAACATCGAAATGGCGTACATGGTGTACGTATCCTGGGAGAGTGGGCTGGTGACGGAGGAGGAGAAGAACCGGATCATTGGCTGCATGGTTGGTCTGGAGCTGCCTGTGTGGCACCAGGCCTGTACCATGGATATGATCCAGAGCTCACTGCAGGAAAGGCTCAAACACTCAGGGGGACTTATCAGGATGCCCCTTCCTGTAGGACTGGGGAAAGCAGGTGAGCATAGAAACCGATTGCTTTTAGAAGTTTCCTGTTGTCTTATTGTCAAAATGTCAACCTATGTGGGTGTGTGTGGAAGATGGATGGATCAAAATCATGGGCAGACTGGCAAGATCTAAAAACTGCTGTTGACAAACTCTAATGTGATGGAGCATAAAAGTGCTGTTTGAATACTTTTTTCCAGCCACTGTGTACAAGTCGACAGTGGCTCAGTTGGTAGAGCATTGGCCTTAGAGCCTTGAGGTCTTGGGTTCGAGCCCACCACAAGACCTGCTTCACGACTGCTGTTGTTGTGTCCTTGGGCAAGACACCTAACCCCACTTTGCCTGCAGCCCCTGCTGAATAATCAGCAGGGGCTGCAGGAGGATCAGTGAGAGGCTGGTGCTATGTGTACTGGCTGCAGCTCTGACTGTCACCCCCCGACCCAGAAATTGATTGAAAAGGGGAAGAAAATGGATGGGTGTACAAGTCATATATTTTTGGAAATAAAAGCAAATATTGAACTATACTTTCCAACTACCAACAATCCAAAAGAGTTAATCCCCAAAATATCAGTTTTCAAAACATCCAAATAAACATTTCTAAGAAACAAGATTGGAACAGATCGAAATTACCAAGTCCAACTCGATAAAGCTATGGATAAGTTTTCAAATAGTCCCAAAAACGAGATGGAAAACAAGTCCACAGTTTTCTCTCGTTATTATCCCATTCACACATTTGTAGATTTGTTTGTATTCTGTTTAAAATATGAATAACAATAAAACTGTTGGAGTATACACATGACGTGCATCCATTAGTGAGTGCTGCAATTCAATAAATCAATATTTCATAGTCAACAATAAAATCACCTGGTGTTTGCTCTTCTTCCTTTCTTTATCTCCTAAAATTATCCCCTTTCTTTGTTTTTCAGAAATCTTCAACAACACGTCAACTGATGTCCTGATCAGCGCTCATGAAAAATGGTCTAATGAGCTGAGCACTCATGCTGTTTAAAACATTTCAATGATAAATCAAGCTGTATATTTTATTGGATTTAATGGATTTATAATTATTAAAAGAATATTTTGTATAAGGGCCTTTTTAAAAAAGAAAATCCAAACTGGATAATAAAGTAATGGTGTTATTTTTTTTTCAATGATAAATACATTTATAGTATATACAGTTTGTGGCATTTGTGTTTTCATACATTTTATCAGACTAAAGTTGTGAGACTTGCTATGAGTTTTACAGTCAGACATTGAAATATTTACTAAAAATCCCCCCAAAATAATTATACAGTTGATATGAATAACATATTAAATTCATTATATACAAAATACAAATTCAACACCTAACACTCTAAAATAATAACATATTGAGAGGGTTTGTCTATAATAACGAAGTGGAGACAAACATGCATTCAAGTATACAAATATATAAATAACAAATGGTCAAAAAACCAAGAATAAATAATGTTTTAATGTTTTGCAGATATGGACATAAAGATGGGGTATCTAACTCACGTAATAAATCACTTGTTTCCACAATCATGTGTTTATGGATATTATATGCTTTTCCAGACATTAAAGTCAAGGAGAAAGGACCCCACTCTATGTCAAAGAGAGTATCTTGTGTTCTGATTTGATGAGTTTTGAAGAGTTTCAGCCACTTTTAGTTGACTATGTCTGCTGATAAATACTAGTCAGGTACCCTAGCTTTAAGTTTGGAGAAAAATAGTGGTAAGTGTTTTACAAAATAACACCCACATTATTGTGTGATGCTTTGTCTTTAACCTTCTCTATTGTTTTTGACTATAGTTTAACAATCAATTGCATTACAAACTGTTGATAAAACTTTATCCAGACATACGATCTTTTAGCTTATACTTCTCATCATAATGTCCAGCACATGTTTCAGTCACTTGAAGGCATTGAGTCCGTGGCGCTAACAGCTCTGGTCCTTGTCCTGTGCCGTGGAGCTGTTTTGCTCTGGGGACATAGGGGACATGTGTGGGCTGTGGTATGAGCTGCTCTCCTCTGACGGAGCCCGGTCGAAGGAGATAGTGCCGTTGTTGAGGTCCAGTGTGGTGTGTGGGGACATATCGGGGCTGGAGGACTGGTACAGGTCAGAGGGACAGTCTCCCAGCACGGGTTCCTGTTTAATGGCCCGGGCAACCAGCTCAGAGGTGCACACGGAGGGAGTGGGGACGAGTGTGAGGCCATGGGCACGCGCCTGCATCTCCAGCTCCTGTGGCGAGAGGTGCAAGGGTTCAATAGTTTAAAAATCATGTTTGAAATGACATAAAGATCTTATGCTCTGACTTAAAAAATGGGGTACCTATTTCTTTTTGATAAATAATACATTGTGATGGTCCAATAGACTGTAATTATTAACGGATGTCGTCACACCTCTCTCCGCCATTGAAACTAATGTGCCATCACTTTTGCCTTTTGTGGGGTTTTTTCAAAATGGCTGTGGGGCAGGAAAATGCATTTGCACCAGCCCCATTCATTTAACGAGTGCGTTCTGAAGTTCTCAGTGGCTAATCTACAGGGGTCCAAAAAAATACCCCCTTAGCATTGACACACATCTGGAAAGTAGCTCTAGGCCGACCTTTGGACCATCCTGTTAACCCATTTTCGAGAGCAAAGAAGACGCCATACAAAAGTGTTGAATAGTTCTCTTTCTGGGTCCACCTCCACCGGCCTCGATGGTATTTCAAGTATGTTTGAGCACGTACTCATGGACGTTTTTGAGCCCGCCCGTACTGGATAGTTCCAACAAAAAGTCCCAAAAGCGTCATATTCATGCATACTATATTTGATTTGCTCTTTGATGAATTCTATACACATTTGCCTTAGCTAATTAAAACGACAGTAATTGTGTATGTTTTGAAATTACATATATTCCCAATATTTCCCAAAACACAAGGTCAACATGTGGAAATCATATTATATGATGAAAATGTGGCTTCCCCAGTTTTTATGTTGACTTTTCATGTTTTTGTTCTCAAGCTAATTAACCGGTCAGAAAGCAGAATTGGTATCACATGAGTCTCTCGTTTGGGTAGCCATTTACAGTGGTGAAATCCAACCGGTTTGGTCACTTCCTAAACCCCTGCGGCTGAAGCACATCCAAGATGGTGGTGTTGTTTACAGCTGTCACATAGGCCAAAAACATGAACATGACAATATAGTGCCAAATTGTGTCAAGATTTAGTATTTTTTTACACACACTATTTTTAAGTTATTGGACTAGAAAGAAGAAAATCTAAAAACTAATCCAACAAGGTTTTTTTCTTAAGAACATGAAAGGTTAGCATGCATTCTTCCTGTCCAGAGGATTGACAACAGCGCTATCTGCTGCGCAACAGAATCCCAGGTTTGTGAGAGATAAAGTAAACCTCGTCCTAGTTTATAGTCCTTGAATCATATTTCCGTGTTCTTGGTGTCCGTTTAGTCCCAACCTGGGATTCTGTTCTGAAGAAGTCTGACTGCAGATGGCGCTGTTGCTCTGGTGGTGTGAAGACAGCGCCAAAACCGCGTAAAACAGCTGGCCAGCCTCGTCAAAGGGACATCAGTGACCATTCGGTACCAAAAGGTCAAATTGTCAGGTAGGAAAAAAACCACTCTGTCTTACAAAATACTCTTCCTTTTGATAAACTATATAAACCAAACTGAGTGCTTGTGTCACAATACCTGTATTCTGAGAAGAAGATGGCGGTTTGTGTGCTCGATCTTCCTCTGGCGACACTCCAGGTCTTTGGCCCTCTGCTGATCTCTCTGCAGTTTGCGAATATAGTCCACAGAGGCTTTGAGTATGGTGCCCTTATTCCAGCGCATGTCCCTATAGCATGAACAAAGCACAGGGTCAGCTGACAGTCACACAAGCACTTTAATGGTCACCGTGGAGAATGCTCTAAAACCGTTCAGACCGATAAACACTCACGGATCATTGGATTTTGGTATCAATGTCCCCAGTTCTTTGATGCGGTCGTTGATGTTAAATCGACGCCTTCTCTCAACTACAAAACAGCGATACGATATTCAAGACAATTTTCTAGGCAAAGAGAAACCAGGGATTGAAATAATATACACCTACACTTACTTAGATTGTGGTTGTCTTTCTTCTGCCTTTCTTTCGCCAAAGCACGGACTTCAGCTTCTAAAAACACAGTCAAAATGTAAACCAGTTTGAACCTTCGTTTTATTTTATTTATTTATGCTTTGTTTTATTTTAGGGAAGCATAGTGGGGAACATTTAAAAAATAAATTATGTCTCGTTTGTAAAAAGTGTGAAAAAAGATAGAAAAGAGTGTGAAGATGACACAATAAAGTAATAAAACAAATAATATTGATTTAAACCTTTTTTTTTTTTTTTTCCAGTTGTGTTCATTGTTTGAAAATGATATTGTGTGATCTCCGATTGGATTCTGTCTTGGTTGTATGCATGCTTACCGACTGGGAAGCCCTCTTGCCGTTGATAGTTTTCATAGTGGCCACAGGTCTTGTCCAGTGCTTGCTTCATGCCAGGAGCTAGAGTAAATTGCACACAATACCAACATTGGCCTATGTCACACAACATATGGTCAAATTAAAACACACTTCTGAGTTGAGATTATTTCCAATGTATGATTCAATTCTTAATATGTTTTGGGAAAAACACACTTTGGGCCTGTTGCTTACTTGAGTATTCCCTTTTGAGGTTGGGTGGGCAGGAGTTACTGACTGCGAGTCCTGGTAGAGGGAGTCCTTGGTTACCATACACATCCAACATATTATTTGAGATAGGAATCTGGAAATAAATGAAATGAAATTGTTTTATTTTTGTCATCTCGAAAGACTTCACAATATTATGTTTTGTAACAGGTAAGAAAGAACATGGTTGAAACAGTCATCAATCAAACAAGATTAACACATGATTAAAAGGAAAAACATATTTATTCTAAAAAGGTGTTCATATTTAATATGATAATTTATTCATTCCACAGAGGGGAGTTTTCACCGCATAAACTCTCAAGTAAATTCTTGGAAAAAGTAAATTCTTGGAATAAGTAAATTCTTGGAAAAAGTAAATTCTTGGAATAAGTAAATTCTTGGAATAAGTAAATTCTTGGAATAAGTACATTCTTGGAATAAGTACATTCTTGGAATAAGTAAATTATTGGAATAAGTAAATTCTTGGAAAATTGTCCATTCCACACAAACATCTTACCCCATTGTTCATCTGGATTCCAGCGTCCATGAGTCCCATTACTTCATCGTTATAACTTGTCTCAAGGCTGATAATATCGTCAATGACGTCGTCCATCTGAATTATGAATATCATGTCAGTGTCAAAAAGTACATTATAATAATTACAAATACGAATGAATCTCTTGTCAGCACTGGTAGAATGTAACAAATAAGTTATAAAAAGTATTTCCATTACTATTTGTGTCTCCAGTTCACAACCGGCTAAATAAATGTTTAAAAATACATATTGTTTTCCCTTATAATGTTACAAAGAAAATCACTTTAAGTAACTTTGTGTAACATACTGCTAAAAAACAAGTCAATATAGGTCAAGTGTCTTAGTTTGAGTATTTTTCGACTGTAAAAATTTGTTGGTTAATACAAAATTTAGTTTCTAAAATAAAACTATTTATCACTTATAATTTGCTTGCCCGTGCTTCTTTCAAAAAGTCTATTGTATCTAAAACGAATACTTGAAACATCATCATGATATTTCACATTTGTAGGAGTTTGATGGTTAAGATTAAGAGATCCTTTATTCGCCCCACAGTGGGAAAATGTCAGTATATTCAGGTATTTCAGGTTATATTTACCTATTGGGTTATTTTGACCCCCCTGCATGATCCGGGACATTTAAAGGACAACTCACACTCAAATCCACTTTTATTTACTGATAAACAGTAAAAATGAGTGTCCAATAGAGTTGTCTACATATCCTGGTCATAATTGTGTCACTTTGGTGCAAATTAGTTGAAAGATCAACTTTCTGCCTAAAACCGTCAGTGTGGCACCATCTGCAGGCGACCTGTATTTACTACAATTGAATTTTGAATCTGGCGCCACCATTGGCGCAGCCGTGATGGCTGACGTCTGCGGTGATTGCTGACGTCAGTTGCCCTGCCGCTCTGGGGTATATAAGCGGCCCAGTCTCGGTCACGCCCCCGTAGCGAGTTGGAGAAGGAATAGCAGAGAGTATTTTCATCGATTGTCAGGTTTACGATTAGTTACAGCATTTAGGTAAATTTTTATTAGCATAAAGTTAATAGCGTTTTTGTTGAATATTGTAGTTTTAGTCATTAGTTGCTTTTAGTGTTAGATTAGTTAGCTGAATTTAGCTTGGGACTTTTTTTAGTATTACTTCAATTCAATTCAATTATTTTATTTACAAAACTCGTAGCCATACATAAAACAACACAGCAGAAACAAGTGTAACATTCCATACTACTACACAATCCCAAAACCCACTTACAAACACCCCACCAATGACTCTAATTACTTTTTTTTGAAGAATTTGTATTTTGTCTAAATAGGTAGGGCTAGGGTTCGTGTTGCTGTATATTGTGTTACAGTAGTTTAAATGTGGTTCGAATAGAGATTTATACAAGACAAGGAGTGCTTCAAGAGGTAGAGTGTGTCTGGTTTTATAAAACATGCCTAAATATTAAGATAGTTAGCCAGATATTTACTTTAGTCAGTTCTTCATTCATTGTTTATTGTAAAAAAGGCATGTTTTTATGAGAGAAAAATAAGTTTGTGTCGTCAGCAAAAATTATTTTGTGTAAAATATCAGTTGAATTTGTTAAGTCATTTATGTATGTAATGAAAAGAAGTGGTCCTAGTATTGAACCCTGTGGTACCCCACATTTGATAGCTTTGTTTTGAGATTTGTAACTGTTTATTTGTACATATTGCTCTCTCTTAGATAGATAGCTTCTGAACCAATCAAGGGCAACACCCCTGACACCATAATGCTCAAGTTTCCCCAGCAATATATCAAAATTGATGGTATCGAATGCTTTTGACAAATCAAGGAAAACACCAACTCCACACTCGCCTTTGTCAATAGCATCATTTACTTTTTCAACAAGATCTAAAATAGCCATACAAGTTGTGCTCTGTTTCCTAAAACCATACTGACATGAAGTTAAAATACACATTTTATTTAGTAAGTAAGTAATCTTTGTTTATATACCGCCTTTTCACTGCACATCGGAGTCTCAAAGCGGTTTACAATTGTTATTTTTTGGGAGTGGGGGTGCCAGTACAGGAGGCACATGCCAGACCTATTGTACATATTTTTAGTGGTAGGGGAAACCGGAGCACCCGGAGGAAACCTACGCAGACACGGGGAGAACATGCAAACTCCACTCAGAAAGGCCCTGGTCCAACCGGGATTTGAACCCAGGACCTTCTTGCTGAGAGGCGAGAGTGCTATCCACTCAGCCACCGTGCCGCCCACTGAGCCCATAAGTACCCACTGAGCCCATCATATACAATCCGTTCAAATACTTTAGAAAAGGAGGGCAGTATTGATATGGGTCAATAATTTTCCATAGTATTCCTATCCCCAGACTTAAATATTGGGATGATTTTAGCAGTTTTGATTTTCTTTGGCACTATTCCAAATTGTAGCGAGAGATTTATACAATGGACGAGTGGGTCAATAATTTATTTTTCTATATATTTTACTATTTTATTACAGATGGAATCCACTCCTTCTGTACAGGAGCTTTTCATGCCTGTAATAATTCTTTGAACCTCAGATTTGTCAGTTGGTTCCAGGAATAGGGATTTGGAGTAACTCCCTTTTAAGTATTGATGATACGTAGCACCCCCTGGAGGATGTATGGTGTTAGCGAGAGTTTCTCCAATAGAATTAAAATAATTGTTGAAACTGTTGGCTAAATCTTCATTGTTTTGATTGCATTTGGTGTCAGGGAGAGAAGTAGATTTTTGGCCCCGACAGAGAACCTTATTTAGAACCCTCCAGCATTGCTTTGGATTTCCATGGGAAGCCCTAATTTCCTGAGCATTACTGTTACGTCTTGCTATTCTTATTAAATGTGTCAATTTATTTTTATATTTAATATATATGTCTTTGTTTCCATGAGTTTGATCACTCATATACATTTTATATAATTTATCTTTCTTTTTTATGGATTTACGTAAGCCTTTAGTAAGCCACTTTTCCTGCTTACCTGAAGCACTTTTCATTATTCTTTCTGGAATAGTGATGTTAATACTGTCAGTGATTGTTTTAATGAAAGCATTGTAGGCATCGTCTGGAGTTGTGCTGAGTCCCATCCTTTCCATTTAAGGTCATTATAAAGTGCACATAAATTTGTTTCAGTTAATACTTTAATTTTCTCCTTAAGGACTGTTTTGTTTGATTTTGTTTCCAGATCTGTGAAAAGCACAATGGGAAAATGGTCGGTAATATCAGACAGAACAACTCCAGAATCAGAGCTCGCATTATGGACATTTGTGATGATGTTGTCTATGATGGATTTACTGGATTCCGTTTCTCTAGTATAAACATTAATTGTGGGAAAGAATGAGTTGGAATAAAGACAATTTAAGAAAGTAGTTTTGACACAGCTTTCTTGAGCTAGATTGATATTAAAGTCACCAAGGAGAAAGCAATTTTTATTTGTTTTATTGATGTTGTCTAGCGTTTCTCCCAGGTGGTTCAAAAAGCAATAAGGATCTGCATCTGGGGGTCGATATATTGCCCCTGCCCCTACAACTATGTTTTTTCCATTTCTTATGTTAATTTCAATCTGTCATTTCATCATTGTGCTGGCGAACTGCGTAGTAGTCTGCGTTGTAGTCCCGCTCCCCCTCCTCACCGGAGGGAAATGGTGGGTGGAACGGCTCACCTGCGTGATCTGCATCCACCCGGGGTGGTTAAAAGGGACGGACACGGACACTTCTGTGAGTCCGAGTAGGACAAGCAATCTCAGCGCCCAAGCAGCGCAAAAAGTAGTGATGGCAATATGAAGCCCCATGAAGCCTTGAGGGATCGCAGCCTATTACTCGGCCCATGAGTCGAAGGCTCAAGGTGAATCATGCTCCACTACGCCATCATGTGGACAAAGAAATACATGACACTCTTAAGTGCTTACAATGAATGGTGAGATCTAATGTTAAAATGTATATTTACAATCTATGGTCTAACGTGTTGTGTTTGAAATGATGCTTCATGAACTATGAACTATTTGAGTCTTTCAGTCAATTGTGTTGATACAACAAACACATCCAAAGTAATACAGTTCTACAGAAAGTGATTAATGGAGGAAAAACTACCAAGAGGTGGATTAATTAAACACAACAAACTATTTATTCCCAATAAATAAATACATTTACTTTGCAACACAAAATGTATTATGGGTAGACCAGGATTCGAACGCTATATCTTCTGCTTCGGAGTCCGTCATATACCGACTGCGCCACACAGCTGTTGTGAAATGTATTATCCAGCGTATTATTACTAATAACTTGAAGCCTTGATATATGAGGTTTTACTAAAGTGAAAAGTTTTTAATTGTATTTCATATGAAGTAGTTTCTCTATACTTAGTACAGGACTGCTCCACATCACGCACACACACACGTAATGTAATGTAATGTAATGTAATCTTTATTTATATACCGCCTTTTCACTGCACATCGGAGTCTCAAAGCGGTTTACAATTGTTATTTTTGGGAGTGGGGCCAGTACAGGAGGCACATGCCAGACCTATTGTACATATTTTTAGTGGTAGGGGAAACCGGAGCACCCGGAGGAAACCTACGCAGACACGGGGAGAACATGCAAACTCCACTCAGAAAGGCCCTGGTCCAACCGGGTCTCGAACCCAGGACCTTCTTGCTGAGAGGCGAGAGTGCTATCCACTCAGCCACCGTGCCGCCCATAGAGGCAGACGGGGACAGCCAATACAGTCTATGCAGCCGCGGATCACAAAGCACCTGTCAAAGCAATGCACTCTCCGAACGATATGAGAACCGTCACGTGGTGCGGCCGCTACGCGAGGCTTCGAACGTCACCACATACGTCACCAACACACGCCTCGACCCACACTTCACAAGAAACGCCCCCAGATTACTCGGTCCACGCTTCGAAGACTCGGTCCGCTCAGCACATCACTAGTAAAAAGGCAACAATAAAGACAAAACCTGTGCAGGAGTAACCCTCTCACAACCCCATGAGAGACAGCCGGTAAGCGCCGTTCCTCATTTGCGATCGCTTAAACTTACGCGGCGACGCGTCCAAGAGCCCTTGGGAGGAGAGGAAACACGGACTCAAAAAACAGTTACTTTGTTTGATTGTTGTTTATAAATTGTACTGTTGTTAGACAAAACAAAACATAACTCCAGGAAGGAATGCGGGTTAACTAGTCTGTTTTCGTTTAATATTATGTTCACTACTAATCAACAAAATTCGCCTTGTATTCGCCTTTATGTTAAAATTATGAAAAATGTTAAGTTTAAAAACGGAATGGTTCATGTATACGGATCATGTTTGGAAAACGCAGTTCGCAATCATGTTAAAATCAATTAGTGTTAAAATGTTAATCAATTACTCAGTGTTAAAATGTTGAAATATATGACTTTAAAAATGTGCTAAAACCAGAACTGTTGATCCTTTGATAAAAAGCTAACATAATGTATTAAGTTTCAAATGTGGTTAAAAACTTTTGTAAAAATAAATAAGGGAATAGACTTTACTTTTGTGAAAATAGACTTTAGTTTGTAACTCATTTGGTTAATTGGCATGTGTTAATACTACAATACAACTATAAAAATGTATAAGAATGTTTAAAAAAGGTCTTAAACACACAGTTTACTGGTATTTGCTTAAAACCAGGTTAAAATATAGATTAATTCATTTGGGGGTAAATATTATTTAAAATAAGATACTATTTTGTTTACTAGCAGGAACATTATTTGTTGAAAGTGCAATTAGAAGACTGTTTATTTGCATAGGAAAATGACTGTATGTTTCTGTTCTGTTTTTGAGGTTTTTCACCTGAACCTAAAGCTGAAACCAAGCCAAATAAATGGCATGAATCAAGAACCATGGATGATCATTGAGTGAAATCCAGTTCAAACTCATATGTGGAGGGTTTATCCCTTTCAAGTGGGGAATTTGCACAAACGTATCACCAAATAACTTGACAATCATTGACGACCAAATCATCTCGCACGTTCACAGAATGTTGTAAATTAACATATATGCACACACCTCCGCCTGTACGACCCGTTCTGTTTTTCTTGTATAGAGTATATCCTTTCAGTTTCAGTGTGTCCATATGTTTGTTCATTTACCCACGTTTCACTACATGCAATTATATTAAACGAGTGGTTCTATTTCGTGTGCAATTTCATTGTATATTGTTTATTGTACTTGTGTACAATAAATACTACTTTATATTTGAGCGTATGTTAAATTACTGTCTTTTTGCACATTGGGGGATCATTTCTATCCAAAATACCTTAGGTGTTTCCATGCAGCACAAGTTTTCCCTTGGGACAAGGAGGTGCAATGGCCACAGGTTGTTGTGGCAGAGTTTAGAATATTATAACTACATAATCCCACAACATATAGTTTTATCTTGGTCGGGGTTCATAAATAAAATGCACAGACAAAACTGTCAAGCAAAGCACCGCAACATAAGGGTTTACTGTATGGGAATATGGGAAGGCTACATAAATGGCCACTCTGGTCAAAGGTTCGATTCAGACAGGTTATCATTTCGGGGTCCGGATCCCTACACGATTGCTCTTAAAGACCTGTGACAAGCAGTTCGTACTTTTTATTCCACTCTTATCATTCAGAAACGGGCCCCATTCTGTGGCGATCTGCTCAAAGTGATAGGACTGAGGGCCGCTGTCTGCCTTGTCTCTCTCATGTGAGGACGGTGGAGAGAAGTCCTCCACCTCCTAAGACCGCACAGAAGCTATAGAGCTGGCGTCGCTGTGATCATTCTCCATTTTTGTCACAGCCAATGCTGATGCCAAGTTTCAATCACAGCCTTGACCCACCCAACATGTCCCCTTTAGTCCTCCAGGCTACGGCCATTTGGAGGGAGATTTGAAAAGAAAATGTGATTGACGTAAGCCTCGAGGAGCGGGGGTGAGAAGTCCTTTTGAGGACATTTATTAACATTTATGGACATGGTCATCCGCCCCCTATGGACCAATGGCTTCAAAGAATCAGCCTCCAGCCAGCCCGCCCCTGCCCCCGCTGAGCAGCAGCTGCAGCTAGTCACATTGGCGCTCTCCTCTTTGCGACCTTTTCTCTATTTATTTCTTGTACATGTGTTTTTAGAATTATTTTTCTTTAAAGTAGGTGATACATTGTGCATTTGTGCACGCGGGAACCTTAGTCTTGTCAGACTTTTCGCTGGATTTATCATGTTTCTGGCCCATGCCAAATGTGACCTGTACATTTCTCCAGTGTGAGCTCAATAAAATCTTATCTTAAATTATTATTGTGTTTCTTTGTTTAATTCTCTGATCTGTTTGCAAATTGACAACTTTGTAAAGTCCTCCGAGACAACTGGTGTGAGGACTAAACTAAAATAAATGTAAGTTTAAATGTACTCAATTCACAATACATGGTTATTTTTTTGCAGTGAGAAGCTTGTGTCGATTACATGGTTGACTTGGTTTCAACTAGGAAACTCACCAAACCATTTAATGATTAAAAGATTAATTCAAACAGTGATTCAATAAATTTCCTGCTTTAAAGCCAAAACATTATCCCTAATTTTCTTCATAAATGTTGGCTGTATTTTTGTTGTAGACAGTAAATCCTTCAATATAATCAAACTTTATAACTGAAATGTTATTTGACCACTTGAGTGATGAGTTTAAACACAAATACAAAAATAGAAGTCAGAAGAAAAGTGCTTGTATGGGCCTTCACCCTTTATCAATTTGGGAGAATCGGTAACAACAAGTCAACTAGGCTTCATCTTTTACGTATTGAAAGCTGAGTGAGGGCTGGTACTCTTGTTTTCAAGAGGCTAAAGACGTGACCAAAGCCAAAAATTCACCCATGGTAAAAATGAGCCAAACAATTTTATAAGCGAGGACTTGATTATGAGTTCATTTGTTGTAGCGTTAAAGGATAGTTATAGGAAATGATAAAGAGGTAACTGAGGGTGAGTTACCTCTTTCTCGCAGTTGGAGCCCAGCGTCAGCAGGGCCATGGGGCTGTTGGGGGCGCTGCTGCCTGGTCCTGGGGGCATGCCGTGTTCGGGGGGCTGTCCGGGACACTGGCTGCCTATCTTCCCCCCCGGTGTTGTGGACAGATACTGACGCACCTGCTGCCTCTGGGCCTGCTGGAGGTGGTATTTACCGGGGCTCTCCAGGTGGGACTGCAACACACATCAACAAAGCACATCCATGAAGCCGTTATCTACAGCCCGTCCATCCACAGGAGCGGATCCCCCCTCAATGTTGCACTCAGCGTTTCTCACTTTTCTCGCTCTGGGTTTCAGAGTTTTTCCGTATCAATGCAGGAGGAACTGAGGCCAGTGGTGATGATCCAGGATATTTGACATTCAATGACATTTATGGACATCTTAACATGTGTGAACATTCAGGGTCATCCGGACGTGTTTTTTTCCCATTGCATTTCCTGTGTTTTAAATGTTTTATTTTCTGATCTGTGTTGGCGAATTGTCAGCTTTATAAAGTCCTCTGAAATAACTGAATTCAATTTAACTTATTTTAAAAGTATAGTTTTGTATTAAAGCTGGTGTACGTAAATTTTGTTTTGTAAATATTTATTTCTTTAATAATTGGTTTAGTTTTCTCCAACAGAAATGTGTCTTACATTTGGGCAAATCAGACCCCAACATGGTGTCTTAATCTTATTAAGAGACAAATATATTATTATATTTTGCACACTTTTAAGAAAGAGCTCTGAGAGTCACTATTTTCTGCTTTGGGCTGAGAGATTGGTGGTCCTCACCATTTCAAACAGATTCAACTACAAAAGCACCAAATTGTTATGAGAACGATTGTTAAGACAAGTTAAACTAATTTTATTGAATAGTCAAATGTTTTGTGCTTTGAAAGTTCCAATCTTACAGCGATGCTTAACATTTTCCTTGATAGAGAATTTTTTTTAAATTGCAAATGTTTTTTACTTCTCAAAACTCTGAAATCTTACGTTGAGTTTGCTGTTCTCAGATATGAACTGTAACTTATCCAGGTAACGTCATTTGCGTGTGTCTCTGATGTAGGTAGAATATTTACTGACATATTTAAGCCAAAAGCAGAAATTATATATTGTACATTCAAGGGGGTGTTTGGATTGTCAGCTTTGTCGTAAGTTTTTTAATTAAGGACCATGAAACTATCAAGTACAATAATGCAACCCGCTCAAATGTGGTCGCACTAAACTACCCAGTTTCACATTTGTCATCCCATTTGAACTATTATAGGTTATATCTGTATTCCGGTTCAATTAGCCTCAATTTTTCCTAAGGAACAATACAATGGGTATAGAAAATATTTGCACTCATAAAAAACTAAACAAAAATAAACCAAAAAGTTTAATACATTTCTAATGTACACTTGAAATTTACTAATCCACCAATTTCAATAAAAACATCAGGGATTAACTTTGAATTCTAAGGAAGCAACATCCACGTCCACACTGTACGTAAAATCGTAAGGTATTTTAATTATAATTAAATCCTCTTTTCATTTCTGAAGAAGCAGTGGGTTATTCCAGTCATGCACGCTTTGGTATTATTACTACTGACGGCAAATGTCTATATGTTTAATGCTCACCTGATAATGGCTGTATTCAAGCATCTCCAACATGATTTCTTTGACTGTAAACAACTATAGACATACAGATATAATCCCTTTGTGGCCTACAACAATTGGCTCCCAAGTAGAAAGTGCAAATCTGAACCAAGTAACCAATTTTGTCTCATTTATCCAGCACTCCAAACTCATTAGTTATGCAAGTTAAGGATAGGGGAGGTCTCATCCACCCAGCTCTGTGGTTTTCCATTTAGAACTATGAATTTATGTCTTTATCGAGCCATTTTTACGTCACTGCCCCAACAGTACAAAGCAACCTTTCTCCTCTGTATAGCCAATAGTTTGCGAACCCTAGCTTCCTTCAGGCTTTTAACGTTTAATCTTTAGTTCTGCTCTTCCAGTATAAAACATTATTTGTTCTGAGCGACCGGAAAACAATAAACGCCGCTGTTTTTCTATACGACTATCTTTATGATAACCAAAATGCATTGTGCGTATATAAGCGTCACCCATTTGGGGATTTCTGAGGTTCATTTTATGACATTTTCCATTGTTGTTGAGTGAGACTGGAATCAGAAAGAATCATTTTCAATTAAATAATTGTTCTCTGTAATCATTCCATAATAATCACATTCAAATACAAATTCTCCACTCTCAATTATCTGTTAGTTTGCCCTGTCGCGGTGCAGAGGGCTCCTCCATAGGAAACACTGGAGATGCTAAAAGGTTAGCGTAAAAAAGCATATAGTACAAAATAAAACTTAAAAATGAATGCATTTGGCTAATAAATTAAAAGAATATGTATTAAGCGGTATATAATAAAAAAATGTTTAAAAGTTACTCTAAGAAGGTGTGTCGTGTGCCTTCTCCTAAAAAACATGAATGTCGCTGTGGCTGCTGTTCCAGAGATGGGGGCAGTAGAGCTGGAAGGATGCCTCATCGTGAGTGTGTCCTGACTTTGGGTACAACTTGGAGCCTGCTGAAGGCCAAGACTCTAAAGAAATAAAGAACCAGTAAAAGATAAAAATCACATCGATCCTAGAACACCTGGGGAGCCAATGCAGTAGTTTAAAAAGCGGAGTAATTGTCTTCATGCTACAGTCCTGAGCTGCTCTGTCTGCGGGAGGTTAAGTATGCCACAGCTGCATGGGCTGATCTGAGATGAGGACTCTAGGGGTAAAAGTTTAGTTTAGTTTGAGAACAGCGATAGTTTGTGCTTGTTATCAGCTCTGTTGGCAACATTTAGTGAACGGTCACACAAGAAAAAGCAGGGTTCCCAAATGATGCTCTGCGTTTTGGGATCTTACTCAACTTTTTAGTAAGTGGGCCAGTATAGTTTACCCAAATTGTTTTGACGATATTATTTTTTTTCTTTAGACTGAGCTATGATGGATCTAAAGTTGACTGAAAGATAAATGACCATTTCACCAACTGCATTAGTGAAAAGCCTGAATTCCAGAGGGGCTGAGCTTTACAACAAGGTACAGCAAGAGTATATTGGCTGAGCTTAAGTTGGCTGGATTGGACTGTGAACTTGTGTCTATGAACTTGTGTCTATGATCTCAACAATAACAGGGCAGAGGGCTACACAGAATGACACATAGAGCCTTAGTTTGAACATTTCGGATCAAGGGATTTAAGTTGTTTCTGAGCCCAAAGAGAGAAGCTTTTAGCAGTGTCATAGAGAAATTGATTAAATATTGGTATTTACTTTTCTTTTAAGTTACAATGTCTTTCAATATCACTATTATTTATATATTTTTCTCAATGGATGAAACATCAAAGTTTCCAACAAACCAAAAGAGGTGTATGTGGTTTTAGTTGTCAAGCTTGAGGTGCTGGTACTTCACATAACAGCTGAAGACCCCTGGTATAAAGGATGGACAGCAGTGCGCTCACACGAGTATCTCTGGTACATGGTATTTGAACAATGATTTACTGTTTTATGAAAATGTCAGGATAATTATATCCATCATTAAATGCTTTTATTCAGACTGGTGTATTTGTCATCAGAAGAGCACTGCATTTTTTACTGGAGTCAAAAAGGGCACAAAGATCAGATTGATACAAAATCTTCCTTATTGCACTGTTATACAAAGCATGGATAATCAACTGATGTTATAATTCTTGGATGGTTGTGGAAGACTGGCTCTGTGACAAATGCAAAGACTCATGGAAAATTATGTCTCAAATGGAAGCCTAATTCATTGTTCTATAGACTGTTTCATACAATTTACCACTTTATATTCAAGTGGTAATGCAGGTGAGATGGGGTAGATCAGTGGTTCTCAAACTTTTCACACCAAGTACCCCCTCAGAAAATACTTGCCTCTCCAAGTACCACCACAAATGACCAACACTATACAGTAGCGTAGTAAGCCTAAGTATTCATCAAAAACAAGGCAGGGGTTTAATTCCTAAAGAAGTATATTCAATGTAACATTTTTCACAGTTTCAACAGTAAGATACAAAATATAGGGGGAAAAATAACTGTTCTTAAATAATGACTCAATTAAAATGTTCAATTCATTGTGAACTGCAAAGCCTCACTGTGAATGATATTCTGGAGTGGGATCTTTGTCCACAGAAGGTTTGGACACTGGTGCACTTTAGTTTCTGAGGCTTGGTCTGCTGCCCTCTTACATTTGTTGTTTACTCACAAAGATCAAATGATCTTTTGTTGCTCTCTGTTCCTTTTGCACAGAACTGGGAAAAAAGCTTTTGTTCATGCTACACCTTCTACATGGAACATGTTGCAAAAAGACTGGAAATAATATGAATTTATTTCCTTGAATGCTTTTAGATCCAGATTGAGAGACTGAGACGTCCTCATTGAAATTTAACTGTTTTTATAAGCTGTAATTTTATGAAATTGTGTGTTACTGTAATTGTATGTATTTTTTGTACACAACTGAAAAAGAGGTTTTCATTGACTGCCAGCCATTGTTGATGACTTCACTGATTTTCAAGACTCACAGAATATTGTGTGCTATGACTATGAATAATATGAAACCAGAGTCTGAAAGACTGGACTGTCTACTTAACCTGGCAAGAGCCAGATTGATGATTGTGTAGAACTCTAATGCGTTCTCCACAATATCAATCTGGGACTTCTGCAGGAGAATCCTTTCGGGTAAAGGAGGGATAAGCAGCAGAATACAGATTCAGATTCAGATTCAGTTTATTTGCCATTTGCAGTAAAAAAACCACATTGGAATACATTAGCAAAAGTCTCCAGTGTGCACAGACAAATACAGACATAAAACAACATTAAAAGACAAAAATAAAACAAATTAAAGCCGCAAGCGGCGATGAAAGGCCTTGCCCCTCTTGCGACCGCCTCCTGGGCGCCAGTCCCACAAGCGTCACGCAGACGAATTGGCAGCCCAATCTGACCAGGATTACATATATAAAAGCTCATTTATATGATAAAGTGCGTCCCTAGTGGTCACCTCCGGGACATGCACCCTCTACGTAGAGTAGTATTTTGCTCGTACAGATGTAAAGATTTGATTTTGCAACTTTGGTGAAGATCGGAAAAGTTTAGGTCAGAAGCCTTACATAGGTGGCGCTGTAGAGTCATATTAGGTGTGTGTTTTCACACCATTAAACTCAGGCCATTACCAACTGTTAGTGATGTGAGTTTCAGCTCTGTAGGTCTGAGCCTGTGGTCAGGAGAGCATCAAACATGGAGAAATTCCCCACTACCTTGCATGAAAACGATAACAAAATTCTAACTTTTATGCGATGATTACATAACTTCAATCCGTCCAGATATAGAAATGACATGGTAGAAGTCTGTGCGATGAAAATCCAGGGACTAGTACGAAGCCAAAAATGCAACACATTGAACTGCCTGTAGGTGGCGCTGTTGCACTCACAGTTGTGTGTTGCATATCGTTGTGTTCAGGGTCATACGTTGTATTTCTGAATTCATTTTTAGCCTCATCGGACAAACATTTTGCCCTAAAAAGCTCATTTATTCACTTTCCAGCGCCCCCAGTGGTCAGGTGTAGGACTTACAACTTTTGCGTAATGTAATGTTTTGCTCGTGTCGGTCCAGAGAATACACTCAGCGATTTTCGGGCTGATCCGAGCACTAGTGCCCTATTACTTTCCGACAGGTGGCGCTAAAGAGCTCAAATTGGGCGAATGATTTTAGTGTCATTGCGTTCAGGCCATAACCTAATATTACTGATGTGAGTCTCAGCTCTGTAGGTCTGAGCCTGTGGCCCTCAGGGCTCAGCGAAAATGGCCAAAACGAAGGCCTTATTCGCCATGGCGAGGGACGAAAACGGTGAAGATTTTCTAACTTTTTTTCGATGATTATATAACTTCAATCCGTCCAGAGCGGGAAATGACGTGGTAGAACTCTGTGTGATGAAAAACCAGGGACTAGTTCGAATTTATAAATGAAAAGTCAAATTAGTGGCGAAACTTCGGCCCCTCATGGCCGACTTCCTGTCGGTCCCAGACATGTGCTTAGAACGGCTTTTATGCTCGTCTCATAGAGATCTATCACTCATCCGAATTTCGTGTACCTACTCCAATATTTGAAAAAAAATCCCCAGAGGGTCAAAAAAAATGAAATTTCTAGGGGGCGTTATAGAGTCGGCGAGCGTCGGACAATCTGGAAACGTTCATTTTATTAAATTTTTCGCCGGACCGGTCGTTTTAGACCCCCCATGTGCAGACTTTTGTGCATGTCTTCAGGGTCAAAAATCGAATTGAAGATGCGGAAAAAAAAGAATAATATGAAACCGGTGAATAACAATAGGCCTCCCCAAAAGAATAATATGAAACCGGTGAATAACAATAGGCCTCCCCAATACTTCGTATTGGCTCGGCCTAATAAAACAGTAAACAAATGTCACTGTGAAATCGATCGACTAAAAGAGTTCAAAACAAGTGCAAATCATTAAAGTGCTCTGTTCACACTGATAACAGCTTGTGGATAAAAACTGTTAGCGTAACGAGATGTCCTGCATCTCAGAGAGCGATATCTTCTGCCAGAGGGATGAAGCTGGAACAAGGCTTTCCCAGGG